TTGCAACTGATAAGTCATTTAAATTCAAATTTTATTCATTCATGCATACTTTGAACTTTTATTGTGACAGCAGAAATTTATTGGAAATAAATATATAAGTGTGATTTTTTTTTTGTCATTTCTCATTTAACTGAATCGGGCACATTAATATGAAACTTTTTTTTTAAACTGGTTAAGTAAATCATTTTAAGCTTTCTATTTTAGCATTTTCTTTAATTATAACATTCAGCTGCTTTGAATTGACAAAAAAAAAAAAAAAAAAACCAACCCCATAAAGTTGTAAAAAGGTTTATTAAACTGCAAGTGATATAATTGTATTTCATGAATCCTATGTTCACATTATTCCAATTTAATTTCCAATCATATACATCTTAGATTTACTTAGTAACAATTATTTATTGGTAAATGAAAATGATTTTTTGTCCCGAGTAATGAAAAAATTATCAATAAATTATCATTTAGTAAAAACAATAAAAGAGATGCTTAACAATAATGCAACGATGAACAAATGATGATCAAATTTGTAAGATCGAAATGATTTGATTGTATTAATATTAATTTCAATTAAATTTCAATATGTTTTAGAGTTCTGCATACATTGAGCAAGGATAAATTTAAAATGTTTTTTGAAATGTTTAAAAAATTAAAAAGCAAAAGTAAGTGTTGGTGATAGGATGAAATTGGTTAATATAAATGCTAAATTCAATTTAATAATTCCGGATAAGATATATTGTTCGAAAGCATGACAAACAAAATTGGATTGATATTATCATCACATCACAAAAGCTAATTAATTACAAGAAAACAAACAAAGATTTCTACTAATCTGAAATTTTAATTTGAAAGAATTAACAAGCTTAATTTCGAATGATGCCAAAAAAGCGAAAATTTTATAACTCTTTTGTTACATCTGGATTTCTTAAGCCTTAACAAGTCCTAATAAAACAGTTGGGATTGCTCGGATTGCTTGAATAAAACAGTCCTTTTAAATGAAGAAATATTTTTGGATTATAATGACAAGGTTTAAAGAAGTTATGAAAAAAGACTGAAAGTTTAGAGCATTATATATGTGTAACCATGCAAGTTGGCAGTTAATTATTGTTAATTATTTTAAGAAGTGATTCAGTAGTAGGAAGACGGTGTAAGTGAGCCTTCACTACATAAAGAGAAGTGTGTTCAACAAATTAAAACTGAAGCGATTTAATGATAGCAAATCGACACCACATTAAAAAAATTCCCATTTAACCACTGTTTGTTTCGATGTGTTAATCAGTGTGTTTAAAAAATGCAAAGATTTATGTTATTCCGAATTCCAGATGAAATCGAACTGATAATTAAAAGAGTAATTTTCACTGATAAAAAATCAACAATCGTTTCACTTTGCTGTGTTTACTTGAGTCTTTGTTGGTGGTTGGAATCTAAAATTCTCTTGAAATAACGAATATTTAAGTGAAGAAACTACTCGCAGCAATTTGTACGATAATAAACAATGATGAAAGTTAGTTTTTTTGTGAACAATAATATGATCATCCTTTAATGATATTTTATTAATGAAATTTAGTTATGTGTATATTTTAATTAGATTAGAAACGATGACATTGGTAGGTTACGTAAAGCAAACAACTTCGTTCTCATTTCCTGTTGAGATGGAAACATTACTGAAATTTACCATAAAGTATACCAAACTGCGACGTACAAAGCGCTATTCCATTTCACATTTATTAAAATCACACTAACACTTGCGCAAAAATTTCCGAACTTTTTAGCACTTAAATGATTCTTAGAAAAAAAAATAAATAGTTGGATGAAATTTATAGATATTGAAGAGGTGGACAATTCCAAAAAGCTCGCGGTGTGCAGTATGCGTAATTGCGGATTTTACTCGCTGGACCGAGATCAGTCATCCGCTCAATAATGCATGCTCTCAGAACTGAATCACAATAACAGCCCTTTTCTCTGAATATTATTTCATTAAATTTCACAGCTTCTTCTATAATTCTTATCAGGGATTGAAGAAAATTTTAAATTTAATTTGTTTCTGACTTGTTTTTCATTGACTTTCAACTATTCATATACAAATAACTAACGTCCAATGCTGATTTCTTTTCAAGCGACACCAATAAATAGGTTCCCGCATTTCATAACAGTCAGCATGGGAGGTACACAGTTTCTGTCTAAAATGAATGCTCAAAAGTTTTCAGAATTTTTGTCAAAGTTTCGAATAAAGTGGAAAACTTTTACAATATATCTTAAATGAATAAATGATTTGGTAGTGACATGAAAAATGCTTACATCCCATCAGTGTTTATGAATGTTGCACCGTAATAATTTCTTGGCATTTTATTGTCAAGACTGTACGTATTGTCCTGAAAAACTTCATATAAATCGTTCAGAAAAAGGATCATTGATTGGAAATTTTATTCTTTCTGTCTCTAAAAGATACATTTTAAACGGCAATATCATATCAATGAATTGTCAAACAAAAAATACTCCTTTGATAAATTGCAGTTGTAAAAATCAATCAATATTGCTATATTTCAATACTAACCAAATTTAGTATTTGCAATTTTGTAACCTGAAAGGTTAAGCTGAACACAAGCAGAAGTTCGATTAAGATTTTCATAGAAACTGTAATTTAAGAATTCGTATTCGTATTAATTTTCTTTCTAATAAATAAGACGTTCACATAATTAGCCCATAATAAAGATATGATCCATCGGAATACTTGTCTATCTCATTTTTCATACTGCTGTGAAATGATGAACACTAGGAATTCTTTGCCTTCAATTTTTCAATCTTAGTACTATTTTCACCAGATGGTATCAAAAATTGAATACATTATTTTGATACGACCAGTAAAATAAACCATTCAAACAATCATTTTTTCTAGCACCCCGAATAATCGATTCTAATACATATTGAAAACGTTTCTGATTGACAAACTGTATAAAATTTTAGCCGTTTTCACATTGCTATAATATTGCAAAATTTCTGTTTTATTACATTTTTTGAATTATTATTTCGTATTCAAACCATTTTCATTTGCATAATATTAGCTGTAACTGTTAAGAAACAAGGAAATCTCAAATTTTTGTAAAATCAACAAATTTTAAAATATATCTAACTATTTCTGAGTCACTTTTTTCTAAAAATTGTAATCTATTTAATAATATATCTTGTCACTTCCGTTAAAATAAGTTAAACCAGAACCAGAAATTATTGAATCAACTGCTTACGGTTTTTCCATTCTATCCTTGGTGCTTTGATAAGTTTATTGCTTCATGTGTATGTTTACCTTTAAAAAACAAAATTTGATGAATTTAGATGAAATTCTGTTTAAGCTAACTTTTGACATATTCCGACATTAGTTTTCGGTCAATTCCTCAAGTTTTCAGCTTATAAACTTACATTAGTATTTGTCAGCAGATTTTCACGTTGAAAAAGCATTAGAATTCGAAACCAGAATTGAAGTTTACTTTTGCCCTTTTATTGTTGATCTTTCAATTTTTATTTATTGCAGATCACTAGAATGTAAAAACAAAAAAGGAAGAAAGCTTTCGAAGTTCAACGAAAAAGCCAACTTAATCAGTGTACATTTCAAGTCTTTTATCAGTCAGATATGACAATAACAATTTTATGAAATTAAGAAAGGTAATTTTTTCATGTCGTTAAAACGTTTAAGAAAATCCGAAAATATTAATTAAAATGATTGAAATCAAAAATATTAGCTATATATCTGAAATAATGAAATATTTGAAAATTCATTGTGCCAAATATTTATTTTGTTTAAAAGAATAGCAAATTTTGGGACAAATGTTAAAATGACTTATATATAGTTGATGAAGAAGATAACCAAGGATAGAAATATAGAAAGAAATCATTAGTAGGCCTATTTGATCCACCTCATTTTATTGGAAAGTACAGAAATAAAAATAATGATATCAAATTTTTTAACAATCTCGAGATAAATATGAAGACAGTGAAATTTATTTTTTACATTCAGCATTTCGAAGATTTGTAACTTTGAATCAATTTATTCTTCAAAAACATAAAATTTAACATGCATGAATTTCAATCTTTTCATTCTACATAAAATTTTTTTGTTTTATATGAATTTCAATTTGTTGATTTTACTTGCATGAAAGTTGTTGGTAAAATGATAAATGAGGATTGATAATTCGCGCTTAAGACAAATTTAAAAAACTTTATCAATTTAAAAAGTTTTCAAAACGTAAATTTAGTTCTGGTTGAATCAGTTTTAGATGAATAATTTTCGTTGAAAAGATTTCAATCCATAAAAAGTCAGTAAAGTTTTTGAAACACAAATAACAGCACACGATACCTGCACAAAAATGAAGTTTTTGTTTTGTAGATACTTTTGACAAAAATTCAGCAATAGATTCCAGTATCCAAAAGGAAGAGAGTCAGGAATAGTCTTATTTAGAGTAAAATTTGTTATCTTTTGAAAGGTTTTACAATTTATTTATTTATTTGCTTATCCTTAGTTACATGTATGGCACGTGAAGTTGACTGATATAATATAAAAGAATATTCCATAAATATAATAAAAGTGCTGCAATGTTATTGTAGTGTTGTTGTTGCATAAAAAAGATTTAAGGAGCCATCAATCAGAAATGTTTTCAGTGACTGTTAGCAGAGATTGTCAAAGGTAAGTTATGTTACATTGATTGGTAAGCACAAATACCATTTATTCCACTTTGTACTTAAAATAATTTATTCACAATTTCTGGTAATATAAGTTTTAAAGACTCGTCATTTCACAATCGTACAAAAAAAAGATAAAAAGAAAAATAAATAGTTCAAATATTTCAAATGTACACTATTGCTACACGAACTAATTAATTATGTGAATGAATGTTTTCGTTAACAGAAAGAAAATTAACACAAATTCTCAAATTATAGGTTCTATGAAAATTCTATTCCAATTTCTACTTGTCTTTAGCCTCTGTCTTCTCATTGCTGCATTGCAAAAAATCAATATGGTAAGTTACAATAGTTAATTTATCGATAAATGTCATTAAAGAAGTATTGTTGGCTTGCTAATAAGTTTGAAACTTACATTTTAAAAGAAAAAGCGTAAAATTTTTAATTGATATTTCTCTTTCTCTCTCTCCCTCTTTCCCTCTGATTCTTCATATCGAGTGAGACAGAAGCATTGTAGGCTGTCACATTCAGTCCTGATAATGAGATGCCAGCAAATTATTACGGTGCAACATTCATAAACACCGATGGAATGTAAGCATTTTTCATGCCACTGCCCAACATTTATGCTTGCAGTTAAAGTATATAATAAAAGTCTTTCAAATTTTTAACGTTTTAAAAAATTTCAAACATTCATTTTAGATTAGAGTCGTGCACTTCCAATGCTGATTGTTACAATATGCGAGAGCCAATTTTTTGGTGTCGCTTGGCCGAAATTCAAGACTGGACGTTAGTTATTGCAATATTCAAATTTAAACAAAAATCAAAAAAAAAATCTACTTTAATTCAATAGATAAGCTTTTTCCCATTTAGAAAAGTTGTAACACACTTATTATCCTTCTTTCTTGTGCTATCAAAAAACGAATAATTTGAAATGTTTTTTTGGGTTCAAATTTCTTTAATAATTTTTCTTAACTGAATGTTTAATATGATTTGCCCATTTATCCATCTCAACAAATATTCCGTTTCCACTTCAAATTAAATAATAATTATGCCAAATCAGATTAAAAATTAGTTAAATTTTATTTAGTGACAAAGGGTGCTATTGTGATTCGGTCGTGAAAGCGTGCATTATTGAACGGATAACTAAACTCGGTCCGATAACTGTGATCCGGAACTATGCACTCTGTACCTGGAAAGAATTGTGGGAATGTCCACCTTTTAAAAATACATAAATTTCATCCAACTATTTATTTTTTTTTTCTAAGAATCATTTAAGTGCTAAAAAGTTCGGAAATTTTTGCGCAAGTGTTAGTGTGATTTTAATAAATGTGAAATGGAATAGCGCTTTGTACGTCGCAGTTTGGTATACTTTATGGTAAATTTCAGTAATGTTTCCATCTCAACAGGAAATGAGAACGAAGTTGTTTGCTTTACGTAACCTACCAATGTCATCGTTTCTAATCTAATTAAAATATACACATAACTAAATTTCATTAATAAAATATCATTAAAGGATGATCATATTATTGTTCACAAAAAAACTAACTTTCATCATTGTTTATTATCGTACAAATTGCTGCGAGTAGTTTCTTCACTTAAATATTCGTTATTTCAAGAGAATTTTAGATTCCAACCACCAACAAAGACTCAAGTAAACACAGCAAAGTGAAACGATTGTTGATTTTTTATCAGTGAAAATTACTCTTTTAATTATCAGTTCGATTTCATCTGGAATTCGGAATAACATAAATCTTTGCATTTTTAAACACACTGATTAACACATCGAAACAAACAGTGGTTAAATGGGAATTTTTTTAATGTGGTGTCGATTTGCTATCATTAAATCGCTTCAGTTTTAATTTGTTGAACACACTTCTCTTTATGTAGTGAAGGCTCACTTACACCGTCTTCCTACTACTGAATCACTTCTTAAAATAATTAACAATAATTAACTGCCAACTTGCATGGTTACACATATATAATGCTCTAAACTTTCAGTCTTTTTTCATAACTTCTTTAAACCTTGTCATTATAATCCAAAAATATTTCTTCATTTGAAAAGGACTGTTTTATTCAAGCAATCCGAGCAATCCCAACTGTTTTATTAGGACTTGTTAAGGCTTAAGAAATCCAGATGTAACAAAAGAGTTATAAAATTTTCGCTTTTTTGGCATCATTCGAAATTAAGCTTGTTAATTCTTTCAAATTAAAATTTCAGATTAGTAGAAATCTTTGTTTGTTTTCTTGTAATTAATTAGCTTTTGTGATGTGATGATAATATCAATCCAATTTTGTTTGTCATGCTTTCGAACAATATATCTTATCCGGAATTATTAAATTGAATTTAGCATTTATATTAACCAATTTCATCCTATCACCAACACTTACTTTTGCTTTTTAATTTTTTAAACATTTCAAAAAACATTTTAAATTTATCCTTGCTCAATGTATGCAGAACTCTAAAACATATTGAAATTTAATTGAAATTAATATTAATACAATCAAATCATTTCGATCTTACAAATTTGATCATCATTTGTTCATCGTTGCATTATTGTTAAGCATCTCTTTTATTGTTTTTACTAAATGATAATTTATTGATAATTTTTTCATTACTCGGGACAAAAAATCATTTTCATTTACCAATAAATAATTGTTACTAAGTAAATCTAAGATGTATATGATTGGAAATTAAATTGGAATAATGTGAACATAGGATTCATGAAATACAATTATATCACTTGCAGTTTAATAAACCTTTTTACAACTTTATGGGGTTGGTTTTTTTTTTTTTTTTTTTGTCAATTCAAAGCAGCTGAATGTTATAATTAAAGAAAATGCTAAAATAGAAAGCTTAAAATGATTTACTTAACCAGTTTAAAAAAAAGTTTCATATTAATGTGCCCGATTCAGTTAAATGAGAAATGACAAAAAAAAAATCACACTTATATATTTATTTCCAATAAATTTCTGCTGTCACAATAAAAGTTCAAAGTATGCATGAATGAATAAAATTTGAATTTAAATGACTTATCAGTTGCAAAAGGTTCACACAGTGCAACCACTATACTTCAATCTCGATATGAATGAATGTTCGATCTCAACTCAATCTCGATATGAATGAATCCTTCCTTGAATATTCAAAGGAAGGTGGAATGAATAATAGTGAAAACTTCGATTATCAAAAAAAAAATGTTAAAATGTTTTTTTCTAGAAATTATGTTTAAGTTTTAGGGAAATTATAAAATGTACATCAAAATTATGTCTTTGTTTAATGAAAGTAATTTTTCTCTATCATGCTAATTTTTGCAAATTCATGAAATATTTACTACGAAATAAAGAAAGAAACAATGAAATAATTATTAAAATAATGGGAAATGGTATGAATAATTTGAATTTGAATACAATGACAATTGGAATAATTTAAAAAAGACTATTATTTGGCAGTATTTTTTGAGGTTTCATAGATGAAAAGATGAAATAACTTATTAAGGACAGTACCAATTGAACGCTGAACGACAATGAGTGTATTCCAAACGACCGTATGATTGACGATTAATTATGCATGAATGAAGTTTTAAATCACAATGACAACCATCTTTCCTGCAAACAAATTATTTATATAATTATTTGAATAATTATTAAATAACATAAATTCAAAAAAAAAGTATATGTATTGTAATATTCAATTCAAATAATTGTTTGAATTAAAATATCACTTGATAATTTGTAAGCAAAAAAAAAACAAAATTTCAACTTTTATAGAAAATAGAAAATTCTGAAATCTTTTAGAGCAATAGCTAGTTTAAAGAATTATTTTGTTCATTATAATGTTTGCATACATTTTATATAAATGCTTACAAATAATCAAAGATTTTAAAACAATTATTTGTTGATTCACCGAAGTAACAAAAAAAAAAAATTTATTTGCGTCATAATTTCATTTAAGGGTCTATAAAAATTCACATCCATTTTTGTTCAGGATTAGGTCGACACCAAAGTATTGGTTCCCGATAGTCATAGCAATCTTTATGCTCGATACATTGCTGTATTCTGGAACAATTTTTAGTTATACTTGAAGAAAACTCAATTCAAATGATTTTAAATTTCAATTTTTGTCCAGAAATGTAAAATACTCCCAATTTTTCCAGGAAAAAAATTTTTTAAAAACTTTGAAATTTTTCAAAATTCAAATTTTAGAAGCAAAGACTTGAAGAGAAAAAAAAATATTAACTAAAATCCCAAATTTTTTTTCTATAAGCCTAAGCCAGTTAATGTGAACTATTGAAATCAAACAATCTTGTCTATTTTATCAAGTCAGAATACATTCTAAAATTGATATATGATATATTATCGTTAATATTTGCACTATACAGCTGCTGTGTTAAGTTTTTATCAGAGAAAAGTCTAATTTCTTTCTTTATTTTCTTACAAATTTGAAATTTCCAATTCTTTTAGACAAAATTTGTTATGAACAGACTTTCCATCAGTTTGAACGAAATATGCTCCAATACAATCAGTGTTTGGATCATCATTTGATTTACAGTGTGATGTTATAAAAAAATATATGAAGAGTGCAGGGAGATTTTTATTGTATGCCAATAGATGGATCATAAATTATTTCTGTACGAATCGAAAACAGTGTAATATTCTCGAGTAAGCGATATTGAAATAAGTGTGTAAGATAAATTCGCTAAAATTTTGAATAATTTTTGCGTAGCAAATTTTGAGTGACTCAATAAGATTGATTCTAAGTTGCAATCAATTTGTGTAATCTCTTGCAATCGCAAATTATAAAATGTTTAGATTTTCTTTCTTTGTCGAAACAAAAACTTTTGGGAAGAAAAGTAACCGAAGCAGAGGTATCTTCAAAGAGACCCGCCCACTCGTCAGTTAATCCATAAAACTGATGAAGTCAACAAAGCACACAGTGTTGATGAGGTCAATCAGAGCCTATTTAGAAGCATATAAACGCACTTTCACTCTTCAACTTGTCATTGTCAAAAAGATTGGATACAAAGTCGACATCGTCTTAATCTCTCTCCATTTATGCCTAAAAATTGCTTTCTTTTGAAATCTCTGAAGTAATATGGCGAGCGCTTTAAATTATCTATAGGACCTATTTCCCAAATTATTTTTATCACTATTTTCTGTTCAGTTAGAAATAAAACATAAAAGAATCATATACTTCATTTTTCAGTCCGTTGGAAACAATGAGTATTTCACTCAATTTTTCAAGATTTCAAAAAAGTATGGAGGAGCATCTCCGAGTAAGTTTATAGAATTAAAATTTTTTTTCTCTCTTCGAGTTATTCCACTGTTATCATCTAAATTAATTTCTTAACCAACATACAAATCCATATGCATTGGAATTTCTGGAATGAAAATATTTTTAAAACTTAGACTTCATTGTATGCTACATTATTGGTTTTCTCGGGCAATGAAATTCAAATGTAATATTAATCTTTTTAGCAGCAGAAAACTGAGTCTTCTCCGCAAGAAATTGAAATGATACTCCAGTCGGAGGAGGATTTCAGTTTAGTAACACGCCTTATAGCGGAACGGATTCGCTGTGAGGAACAAAACGGCAGCAGGAAATAGAATGCTCAACATTAGCTGCCGTAAGTTTCAGGTGAATAAAAGTTTTAGTCTAATTTCATCTATTTTGCAGTGTTTCAAAATCAAATTTCAGTCATTTGAATCTATTTCCATTATTTAGGATCCCCACTGAATTGATCGATTTATTGCTTGGAGTGGAGGATCAACAGGCGCTTCTAATAGCGTTCCAAACTGAAACAGAATTCATGTTACCACGTCGGTTTCAGAGTTCCACGTTCACAATCAACGGATATGAGCATAATATCCGCAAAGCTTTGCGGATGATTGAGGAAATTATCAATGAAGAGTGTTGCAATTCACATTCACCAACTTATGCTTTTGTTCCTGATCCAAATGCGGTAGGAATTATTTGATTATATTCAAATATAATAGTTTTTAATGTTATTTTCCGTGACAGTTTCAATTAATTAATGAAGATTGTTCAGATCACTGATAAATTTTATAGGACGAAAGTGGAACCGATTTCATCCTATGCAATGGACCAATTCGTGAAGCAAGGTATAGGCCTGGAAGAGAGGGAATGCATCGAGGTTGAGGACGAAATGTATTTAAATAATAATTAAATTAAATGCTATATTTATATTGATTTGCTTATCTAGTATTTTGTGCATGTTATATATAATTGAGCATCTGTACGTTATTTTTGAAAATTCATTGGTCACTCCACTTGTTATTTTATGCTTTGTGCAATATACAAAATCGTTTTGTTTGATTTTTAAATGAACATTTTATTTTATTCAGAATTATTACAATTTTAATAAATTTCATATAATTTCCACTTTCTTTTGCAATATAATGCTATAGCTGAATTACGACCGTTGTGTAAGCGATGATAATCTAAAATTGATAAAACTTATATGAAGGCACCGAAATACAATACAATGATACGGAAAGCTTTTTTGCTCTATAAACTGAATAAAGCTAGAAATCAATGTAGCAAATGCAATCGATTTGCACCGTTATTTTGAATCTAAATTACATTTCCAAATAACAGGCAATCATCTAAATACAACAAATCATTCCTGGAATCAATGATTGACTATCATAAACATTATTGTTCAGACTTTCTATTGTAAATAGTTGCTAAAATTAATGAAAAAAAATCATTTTATGACAGTTTTACAACAAAACGTTCCTTTTTTTTGCTTATTATTTTTTATATTTTATCTATGTCATTTAAAAAGTAAAATCTTCAATGTTTCCAAATTATTACACTGTGGAAGAACTTAATTTTTCAATATAGCAGATAAAAAGTAAAGAATTCTGTTTAGTATTAAATCAAGCACAAAAAAATAAGAAAAAATTATTATAAATAATAAGAAAATGGCAATAATAATGTTAAATATTAGTTTGTTCAAATTAAATAAAAAGACGCTGCCGCAAGATCAATCTTTGCATTACAAAATGCTTAACGAAATAGCAAATTGAAGTATGAATGTTTGAAACAAATCGTCAAGTTTGACCAGCCGGACTTGTCTCCTTTTTTCTTATAAGAGTGCAAATGCTCAGCTTCTATTTTGGAAGCATTCGCATAGGAATGTTTTCAAGCCTAGGTTCCTGGCAGATTTCATCTGCTATGCAGCCTTCAGAGTCTCTTCCAAAGTGAAAGTTACATTCAATTGAGTTTTCACTGGTTCCTGAGTGATGTGTTGAACTGATGTATCTTTAATTATAAAGGTGCACTGAAGAAAAATTGAAAATATTCAATTCATCGGTTTATATTAGAAGATGAGAATCACTTGGCCACTGTTTTTGTAGCTTCGAAGTATCTTCTGTGATTGCTGAAATTCATGAATAATTGATTCTTTTCTGCTCGATTGGTCCTATTTATTGTCTAAATGTATCAAAGTTTTTGTCCAAACTGCATGCAGAACGAAAGATTGCTTTTCTTGTAAATTCTCTTCTTTGACAACAGTTTCTGAATCTTTAATTTGTTTTCTCTCATAAGAACTTTAAAAACTTTATGGGAAATTTGCTCCGTGGTGAGATTACGTTCAGTTCAATGCTAAATTGTGCATTCCTTAACTAAAAACGGATTGGAAAAAAATTCAGTTTCATCATCGGTTGAGAATGAAGAATTTATCTGTGAGAAGCAAGTAACTATCTAAACTAAAAAGTACTTTCAAAGTTTCTAAAATTTTCTGTGGTTCATTTATTTTAATATGATTGCTACTTATAATTAATTACTGATTACATTTACTGATGATTATAAAATTACTGATTGTGATTAATTACTAATTACTGATTAAAAATAATTCATTTAACTTTCATTAGCTGCTCAGCTTCATCATGCTTTTATTTTAATTTCTTTCAGCTTATCTCACTTTTTAATGAATATATCTCAGATCATTTTTGCGCATTGGTCAATCAAAAAAAAAAATCATTTATAGCATGAAATTTTCGATCTTTGCTATCATTATTATTTCAACGATTACAGTTGATTGATTGCCACAAAATAATGATAATTTGATATATGACCAAATATATTTAAATTTAATTTTTTACAAAGTGATTTAAAAAAACAAGTACTTCTTGTTTGCATAATGAAAAAATACCTTGTTTTCATTGGAAATTATTGATTTACAAGCAAAAAAAAAAGTGAAAAGTATGCAACGCTACAAAAATGGTGGAACCATAATATTTAATTTTATTGATTTACAGTACAAGTAAAAAAATTTTTTTTTGTTTAAATTCATTGAAGAAAGCCATGGCTATTGTTTGAGTATTTAATTCCCTTTTCTTTTTTTTGGAAAAAATCATTTACAGCATGAAGTTACTACGATTTAAGGATATAAAGCAAAAATGTGAAAAAGCAAAACTACGATCTCCCCGGCCGGGAATCGAACCCGGGTCTCGCACGTGACAGGCGCGGATACTCACCACTATACTACCGAGGACTCGTAGTGGAACTATAATGAATGCCTGGAGTTACCACAGAAAAATTTTAAAAATTAAAATTAAAAAAGAAAAAATTTATAATGAAATATCGATTAACGCAATATAATTAATGCACTAAATTACGTCATATTAGTTTTGTAATAATTAGTTATGTAATTGTGATTAACTAAGAATTAATTTTTAGTAATTTACACAGAAATTAACAAAATTCATTGATAATTTTTGCTCTTTTATTTCCTCTTAAAAATTAAAAACCTCTTTAAAGTAAAACTAAAATTATCAAAATTTGTTGGTAATATTAATGATATTGTTCCACTATTATGGAAGTAATTTTTTCCAAAATTCGATCATATTAAATAAGTACATCATTGTTTGTTTTTCTTTTTCTTATGGATTTAATGATCTGAATGATATTTTCACTCTATTTCCAAATTACTTAGGTAATATTAAATAAAAAAAAAGAAAAAAAAATTGAGAGAACCATTAATTGTAATGAGCTACAAAAACAGAATACTAACAATTAATAATAATAATAATAATAATAATAATAATAATAATAATAATAATAATAATAATAATAATAATAATAATAATAATAATAATAATAATAATAATAATAATAATAATAATAATAATAATATTAATGAAGACTTGTTATTATTATTATTATGAATCATTATTATCACCACTGATTCAAGATATTATTATTTTGATAAATTGTTTATTGAAATGGTTGAAACTTAATTCTATATGACATAATTTGCCTTATGCTCTCCTCTTTCAGGGATTAACGAAAACTGTTTATAGAAATTACATATTCTTCCTTCTATTAAAAGCTAATTTTAGTACATTCATTAAATATATATTATCATAATAGTTGCTGTCAAAATTTTGTCATAATTTTATAGAAAGTTTAGTTGAAATTCAGTACTTAAATAGAAGAATTTTAATTTGCAAAATGGAAGCAAAATAAAGTCAAAAAAATTTTTTAATGAATGAAAACTTAACTTATTGATTTAGTAGTGATAATTCCTTTTCTTACATACATTAATAGTAAATTTTTCACCAATAAACATTTCTATGGATTTATAATCTTTTTGAAATCCCAAATTTTTGTGAACAAAAAAAAAAAAAAAGAAAAACAATGTTTTAAAAAATTCGCAAATTTTATTCTGTAATACTTTTTTGCTTTTTTGAAAGAAATAAATGAAATGTTTTTCATTAATTAATTGCTTTACTTTTGCTCTATTGATTGTCTTTTTCCGCATTTTAGTGCATTTATTTACTTTTTTACCTTTTTTTTTTCATTTCATTTCATTTCTTAGATTATTTGTTTGGTTCTTTTATCGAAATATAACATAACGAGCCAAGATAGATATACCAATCAGTGTAACAGAGCCATACGTTATTGTCGCTGTCAACCTCCCAAATGTGACAGAAAGAAAGAATAAGGGACAGAGAGAGAGAGAGAGAGAAAGAGAGAGAGAGAGAGGAAAAGAGATGATTCAAAATATTAGCTGTCAAATCATTTCATTTAATTCATCCATTCTATCCATTCATCAATTCATCCATTCATCCATTCATTTATTTATTTATTCACTGCTTTTTTTCTTATCACTAATTTAAACTATGAAAAAAAAAATCTATCAACTTCAACTATTCATGTTTCTCAAAATCTGCAAACTATTTCCATATCTTACTTTAAGATTTTTTATCTTCATTTTATCGTTTTACCTTCATTACATTTCATGTAATATTTTCCAAAAAATTATTTATCAAAAAATTTAAAAAATCATAGGAAAAACAAAAATAATTTGAACTAATAGAAAGGAATTGAAATGAAACTAAAATTTTATTGAAGAAATAATTTATTTAACATTGATCGTTTTTCCAGCATAATGATAAGCTAACATTGTTAAATAACCATAGAGAAACTTGTCATTCTTTCAGACTTCATTAGATTTTGTTTCCTTTCCTTTCTCTCTCTGTCCTTTTCATCCAGCAAAAATCATTACTGATGTCGTCGCTATTGATAATGGATGATAATGTGGTTGATGATGACGGCGATAATAAAGACAGTGGTAATTATAGTAGATAATGATGGTAGTGGCGGTGGTAATAATAATAATAATAATAATAATAATAATAATAATAATAATAATAATAATAATAATAATAATAATAATAATAATAATAATAATAATAATAATAATAATAATAATAATAATAATAATAATAATAATAATAATAATAATAGTAATAATAATAATAATAATAATAATAATAGTAATAATAATAATAATAATAATAATAATAGTAATAATAATAATAATAATAATAATAATAGTAATAATAATAATAATAACAATAATAATAATAATGATAATAATAATAACAATAATAATAATGATAATAATGATAATAATAATAGTAATAATAATAATAATAATAATAATAATAATAATAATAATAATAATAATAATAATAATAATAATAATAATAATAATAATAATAATAGTAATAATGATAATAAAATAATAATAGTAGTAATAATACGATGATGATGATGACATTGACAATGATAGGGGTAGCTCCAGTCATGCTAACATAGAAATTTACTACTGTCTATTAACATTT